TCATTATCTATATGACTATATTTTATTAGTAGAGTTAAGTATTTAAGTGTATTGACTTAAAATGTAAAATATTATTATTATATTTTTCAGTAATGTAATTTCATAAATAATTTTAGATAAGAGGTGATTGATACGTGATAACTAATTTAACATTATTAAATAATATTACAAAACTTTTATGTTCTAAAAAAATTGTTCCTATTTATATAGATATAGATAGTTAAAATCTAAAATGAAAACTAACACTTAAATTTAATTACATACCTATATGTTTTATAATCAAATATTTTTTGATTCTTAACCTTCTTTTCTTTTTAAATTTTCCATGACGGGTTTAAATTTAGACGTTGTTTAATGTAACTAATTTTATATTACCTATAAATAAATACAATTCGATTAGAGTACCTGCACAATAAGTATTGGTCTTGGGGAAAAAATAATTATTTAAATTCTTTACGTCTTACTTTACATGACATGCGAATTTTCGATGGCGTGTTCCAAGTTTACAACTAATAGGTAGATCGTAGATATGTAATATTTATACATAAATATCAGACGGTACAGTTATAGGTACAAAATCTAACATATTTGATACGATTATTTTATACAAACTTATATGCTTAGTAAATATTGTTAGGTATAAGAAATTTTTCATTCAAGGTTTAACTAAACAAAATAATAGATCTTTAAGTACAAATATTTTAATATTTTAAACTTATAAAACATTCAAGCATGATAACAGGTAGGTGACCGAGAAATGATAAATAATACCGCATTAGATACAGTCAAGGCTGTGTAATATGAAAGGGTCCATACAGTCCCCTCTCCCCTCTCCAATAAAAAAATTGACTTAACATTTTACTAAAATAATTTTTGATACCAATATAAACATTTTTCAGCCATAAGTGGTCGTAATAAATCTTATTATATTTCCTTATTTTACCAAATTTCAAAACATAAATTCAGTATTGACTAAAATATAATCATATAACTTTTTACTTTGGACCTTCCCCTTAAAAAATTATACAGATACAACCAGTATTTAGTGCCTATATCTATAGCGAGAAGGTACCTAGTACGAGGTAATAGGCATACTGATAAATGTATTATATAAGTACTTTAAACTTTGAACCATATTGTAATTTGTAATGCGTACCTACATTTACTGCATTTATTTGAAAAGAAATTTTAAATAACAATTCAATAATTATGTATTGCCAACAAATAATAACATTTGTTATGCAAAATTTAAAAAAAAAAAAAATTTTACCAAAAAATTGTCTTTTTTTTAAATACAATATACATTATACAAATATCTTACTTAATCAACAATCTGAAATATAACTCTAATAATAGGTATACATACTAACTGAATGCCTGAAATTCTAAGACTCGAAAAACGAACACCACATATCACGCTTCTACTAAGAGAAACTTTACGCTTTTACGAGCCAACCTCTTATCAAATATCAAAATGATCAACTTCTTAAAGGAAATCGAATTATATAACCTCTTGTAAGCAAAACATTAATGTTAACTTATGGCCAGGTAGGATGTTCGTGTGCACCTATTACGAACATGGAACATGAGTTAATTTTTGTTTAATGTTATGACTTCCCTACCAGTCCGTTAAATGTTGTTATCTGCAAGGGAAATTCTTCACGTGCAGTATTTTAAGCTTCACTACCTAAATAGGTAGGTATTAAAAACTAAAATGTATGAATAAAAGTATTTTATTAACCTAACTTTAAAAAAACCTATATTTAGGTAGGTACCTATTCAAGTAAATCAATTATTTAACGAGTAGCTTTGATTATTTATATTGTTTATTTGGTTATTGTTTATTAGATAAAAAATTTGGTTAAGACGTATGGGTAATGACTATGGGTAATGACTAAGCAAAGTCTTCTTATAAAGAAAAAAGCCACTCCGGTAAGACAAACTAGATTGGCACTTAGGTAAGTTTAAAGTTTTAAATATATACCAGCACACCACAATGCATACAATTAATATTAACGTAAGATAGAATTATTTATTGCTATTATTGCTGCTGCTACAACAAAAGAGCTGGTGATAATATTTTTATTTTATAATTAATACCTAATAAATAAAAGAGTGTATTGAACTGGGGAGGTGGTGTGGACAGCTCACAGCTGCATGCTTCCCCTGCAACAAGATATGGAACTTGCAGGCCAGCTATAACTGTCAAAGTTAATTGCGAGTTATGGATTCTGGAAATTAGGTATGATACTCGTAATAGTGTACGGATATGGTGCCAAATCTTCTACTCTAAAGATATTTAAATATTTTACAATACCTATAAGTATCAATAAAACCTACATTGTTTAATCATTTTTATATTGCTTCGTCATAATTAGATTGAATTGATTTTTGTAAAAACCATCGCATAGGTATAGGTTCTTACATACTATTATAATACATTAATACTATGAATTGTTATAACATTACGTATATAATATGGTATTTAGACGTTTCCTTCATAATATAGTATAGCTATATTGCTCAAGATTAGTCTAAACATTTTGAAAATTGCATCATACATAGAAAATAATAATAAACATAAATATAGAAGTGGTGAAGAGTGTCATATTACGTCTATGATTAATATTTTTTTAATTATTACAATATAAGTAACTGAAATAGTTTTTTTTTTGTTTAAATAGGTATGTTAGTGTCTTAAAATTTTAAATAAAAATTATTGTGTGAATGAAATCGTAAAATGAATTACCTACCAACCTAGCTATTCAAAAGTATGGTCAGAAAAATGGAAATCTGAATACAATGCGTTCCCTCTCCTCCCATGGCCAAAAATTGTAAAAATTGCAACGTAGGGTTTATGAGGAGGCCGAGGAGGGGTAGGAATTCGAAACAACTTCGAGAAAAAAAATCATAAAAAAGTTTATACTGTCATCAGAAACGTGATACATAAAAAAAAGGCCTGGTCTTTTATAATATTAATACCTATATATAAAGATTGTTCGCATCAAAATAAATTAAATTTGTCATGTCAAATGTTATTTCTTAAGTCTTTTCAGCTCACGAAAGTGGGGATCATATCAACCATTGTTCTTAGTAAAAATATACATTTTATTTTAACCCCCCCCCCTCCGAAACACTATCCTTTGTAAAAGGTCTGAACACGTCCGTGGTCTAGCTAGTCTGGCCATTAAAACTTTAAACTGTTAGTTAGCTATTGATACAATTATATGCTTCGATAATAGATTTTTGTAATAAGTTGGTAGGTATCAAAAGTTTCTTCAAAATATGCTTAAACCTAGTGTCAGAGTTTTCCAGTTGAATTATTGAAACAATGGAATGCTTAGGCAGGTACACGCAGTTGGTGGCTCAGGGGCAAACACTAAAACATTTTAACTTGATGTAGATAACTGTATATTACATTGTTGATTGTTATGCCATGTCGATGTAAGTAAAAAACAACTAAACAACGCATTCAAGTAGGTACATATTTTACTTAGTTACCTAATTGACAGCCGTGAGGTACATGCTCCAATTTCAAATCATCTCCTTTAAAAAATAGCTTGGATATAGTATGTATAGACATAGAGTTTATATGTAGGTACTGGTACGGTTGAAAAATAAGAAAACAAAACGTTTCTTTTTTATGTATCTACTTATGTATACATTTAAAAATAATTATTTATCTGTGTATGTAGATATATTATTAATACTTAATATTTAAATCTCTACCACCTAGTCTAGTTTATTTAGTTTAGGTACACATTTTAAATACCAAGCTCTCATCTGATTGATTTTATTGGGTTTATTGATTTACTTATTCATTTATACATATTTATACGATAAGTATATAAAATACTAAGCACGGAACTGATTAATTTCTACATATAGTATTTATTTTCAGTAGGTAAATATATGGGGCTTAAAAAATCATATTAATAGGTAGTATATTTAAACATTAAAGTAGGTGTAGTACATTTTATAATTATTTAAGTATTTTTGTATTTCTATTTCAGTTAAATTGCAATTTTATTATACTTTTTTATTAATTTTGCAATTTATCTAAACTAAAAATTTTATTTTATTTTTTTATTATTATCATGTTAGGTAATTGTTTATTGCTGAGCATTGAACTCAACCCATCAATTTACAAGCTTTGATTTTAGGTTGGGTTTTGCAACTTAACTTACTGTTATATCTACCATCTATTATAAATTATTTTTAAAATTAAGAGATTGTTATTTTTTTTTAATAAAAAATTCCTATTTTGTACTTAGTTGGTAAGAAAATATATTATTTAATTATATTCTTAGGTATATTGGATCAGACACACAATTTTTGACCATCACCAACAGCTATCTGACCTTTAGTACCCACACACATAGATTAAAATAATACTTTACATCTAGTCTAAAAAAAAATCATTTATTATGTTTAGACTTTGACTCTTAGCATAAATAATTAACAAAGTGATAATCGGGTCAAATGTTATGAAGACAAATACTAAAATAATGTTTCATAGGGATGTGTTTTAATCAGTAGAACATGTAATTGATATTACAAGTTTACAGTTAATAGTTGGTTTTATTACAATATTGAACGCCATTACCCAGTTATATTTTTAAAAAAAAGTGTTAGTACACATTTTTTTTAAATTATAATTTTATAATTTCATTAATGTTCATTTAAAAAAATAAAGTTGTATCATAATAAAAATAATTTAAATTTAAACTCAATAATAAAGGTTGATTCCAAAAAGGTTATAAAAAACTATTTAATAAAAATGTATGCGATTTTATAATAAAACAATAGCTATATTTTTAAAAAAGCTGAAGTATTATAGTGTTGCTTTTTATAATGCTGTATCCTGGAATGGATGAATAACAAACTTGATCGTATTTTTAAGAACTAACCAATTTGTTCCAGCAACAAGGATACAGTATTTGTTTCAACTTATTAAATGCAATTATTTACAATATAATACACTAATAAAAAATACACAGTTTTAATATTTTTTCAAAAGACTGTTATTTTTATTAATGATTAATGAATAAACAAATGAATGAATACCATATAAGTTGTAGTTTAATCAATTTATATACAAACATAATGATAAAAAAAAAGAAAAAATTGTAATTATCTTCTATATCGATATCTTTTGAAATGAAACCATAGTTGAAATATATTGTTATGAAACTGACAACGAAATCCTCTTTTGTATGAATATTCCCATTCTCTGTTGACAATTTTGAATGCAATATCTTCATATGGAGGACCGGCATGAAATCTCAAGACTGCAAATTCTGGGTTATCTCCACAAGCGGTCTACATAAGTATAAAATAATATGGTATAAAATAGTTGAGTTTAACTACAATAATTGTTGTTTTGAATTTACCAAGAAATATTGTGGAGTTGAACCTTTATTTATTAAATCTGGATAAAATATATTAAACTTGTATCCTTGAACAATTTTTGGCGGAGGATTATCCATGTCATAATGAGTTTGATTGTACTTATTCCACTCAAATCCAGTATGTACCCTATGAATATAAAGTTAATTTTAATAAAACATTTGTAATAATTTAAACATTTAAAATAAACATAATTTATTTTATTGTTTACCTATTAAAATATCTAGGTTTTCGTGGTCTGTACTTATCTGACCATAAGTAAACTTGATGGTCCAATTCAGATTCCACTGAGAATTCTGCTTCTTCATTTGTCATTCCCTTCCTAGCTTCTTTTTGCAACGCCATTTCTTCTACAGCCATTACGTTCTGTAAAAAATATGTTATTTGAGGATATAGATAAAATTAATTTGAATGAATAATATTGACAGAAAGTTTTACAAGATAGATTATTTTAAGACTTATTATTTATTGTATATAATATACTTTTATGTGTCCAAGGATTGACTTTTGCCATAAATTATTTATGAATATTTAACTTTTTACTTGTTTTTTTTATCTTTGATAAATATCTAAACAAATAACCTTATTACTATTCAATTGGCATCAAATTTCAGTAGCTGTCAATAAACATAGAATCATATAACTGTCTAATATGTTAGTCCATGTACAGTTATTTATGACAACTAATGTAATACATTTCTCAAAGTTGTGAATTTATATTATTATCATATTTCATACAAACAACATATGAAATTGACACTTTTGAATATTTATTACATGTGATAAGCTTACTTCAATACGTGTCCCTGTGCCTTGTACTTGCAGTCTAGCAAACGTCAGCCGTTTTTCGTCATCAATTTCTGATACAACTAAAGTGCCAAGTTCTAAGCTATTGGGAGAAATATATACGGGGCTATACCCACAGGCTTCAAAATCTGCAGCACATTCTTCTATAATATTTCTGGCTTCTTGTTCAGCATCACTAATTAAAAATAAATTATAATGTTGGCCAAAATATAAGTTTACATTTAAATTTAAAATTCACCTTATATCTTCTTCAGAACTTAGGATTTTTTCTTTTCTAGAGGGAGATTTTTTGGTAGAGGTTGATGGTTGATCTTGCCCTGATGGCTCATTAACTTTAGGCAATTGTTGTTGGGTTTTATGACTATTTCCTTCCTCTGGATCAAATTTAGAATCGTCCATCTTTTGCTGTGCTTTTAAAACTTCCAATTTTTTTTTTAGATTTTCTTGATGTCGATCTCTAAGTCGAGCTCTTGCAACATGAGCTATAAATATATTAATATTATAAAAATACTTAACTAAATTAAATTTTAACTTTTCATAAAAAAAAAATTTTAATGTATCAATAGTAATCATTATTAATCATGCATACCTTTTAGTTGAGATAATAAAGTTTCCCAATACCCAATATCAACACCTTCAGCTTTACTATTGATTTTTTTTTCAATTTGTGTTTTTAGTTGGTCCAACTGTTCAGCAGTTTTACCTCGGAAAATATGAGCCACTTCATGAGCTACTGATTGATGGATTCCTTCTCTTCGACCAACAGCTAAGCACATTATTTAAAGTTTATAAATATAAATATTTGATGGTATAAAAATGTTAACACAAAAATTTATGTATAATATATTATAGGTAGGTATTGGAGCTAAAAAATAAATTCCAAATTGAATAAAACTATATGGTTAGTGTCTAATCACTCAACAATAGATTTTTAATTTTTAAATGTATAATATATATATTACCAATAATAAATAATATGTGATTATTTATTTGATTGAATATGCTTCAATAATATGAAATAAAAAGAAAAAATAAGTCCTTTTCCCCAAGATATTATATTACAATTAATATTATAGCTCAATGACTTACACTTATTACAATATTATAGTCAAAGCCGTTAATTGGGAAAAGATATTAGGTATTGGCCGGAAAAATGTTCAATGACCAAAATTATTCAATTATGTAAGGACATTTTAATTTACATTTTATTTTTGACCAAATTTCAAGGTTGGTGATCGTAGATAATATAGGTACCCAGGTACACAGTATATTATAATTAATAAATAGAGTACGGATTTGTATACTCAAACAATTGCATATTTTTTCCTTTTCATATTTTTGGGTTTTGTTAGAAATCTTTACAAATTGTAACTGTTTGAAGCTAATGGCAAATTTTTATTTCATATTACTACATATTTAATGGTTATTGAATATTTGTGCATATTTTGACAAAATTCAAAATATATTGTATATTGAAGAGAACATTTAAAAAAAAAAGGGATTTTGTTAAACACAAAATTTAATGATACATTTTGTAGGCGCTCAATGATTATTGATTTTAATAATATTATTTACAAACTATAAAGTTTAATATTGTTTTTTGTTTATTAAGTAGATATCAATAATTATAAGTTATTTAATTTATTTTAAATTATATTTGTCATACATTTATAAGGTATGACATTTTTATTTCTGGCATATTTTCACGATTTTGACTACATATTATGGATTTTTATGCACTAAAATGACTAAAATGTTTTGACACATTTTAATGCACAAAAATCTCCACAGTATTAATAAGTAACTTAAAGTCTATGGTTATTAATTATCTGTACAGTTGTTACCACTATAACATTGAGATTTTTATAACAATTAGTTATTGAGTATTGGTACAACATTGAAAATAAAAATATCAAATTTATTGAGCATTTTATCTTGTAAGTAATAAAAAAATAATAAAAATTAATATTGTCTTATATGGTAGGAAAGCAGTTACATTTACCTGTGAAAGCTGATTGTTTTTGTATTCTTCTCATTTTATGCAATTCATCTTCTACAATGACTGTTATATCATTCCAGTATTCAAAGTTTTTTCCCTTTTCAAGTTCCATGTAAACTTTGATATCTTCTACAAGATCTTCTAAATCTTTGAGTTTTAAACCGTTTAAGTAAATATAAGGTTCGTGCATTTCAACTGCATCTACTTCTTCTTCTGTACTTATGTATTTAGCAAGAAGATCAATTGGTTTAGCTGAAAAAACAATTAATAATGCCAATATGTTATTTATATAGAATTTTTTTAATGTTAAGTATATTTATTGAATTAATATTACCTCTGCCGTCTTCAATACGAATAGTAGATCGCAAACGAGCTTGCTGTAAATGAAACTGATCTTCACTTTTTTCCCATTCTTTAAATTGTGCTGCTTCTTTACTTCTTTGTAGTAATGCCATCTCATCTTCTCTTTGTTGCCTTTCTGTTTCTCTTTCCATTCTTCGTTTTTTTACTTTTTCTAATTCTCGTTTGTTTTCTTCCATTTTTTGTCGGTTCCTTAATTCTAGTTCTTCATGGCTAACCCCTACCAAACCATCTTTGGCCATTTTTTTATCCCATACAAATGTAGACAGCAAGTTTGCATCACCAAATGGATTGTCAGCATTTGTATAATGAAGGTAATCATTATCCCAACCCATTAGCTCTTTTCGTTTTCTTTCTTTAGCTGTTTTCTTCATCAAACGCCTAAACCGCTTTTCCTCTGGTGTCTCCATACCTTTAATTAATTCCTTTTGTTGTTTTCTTTCTTCAGCAACTCTAAGTCTTTCTTGTTGCAAACGTTGTAGCAATTTTGCCTCATCATTGCTCGACGAGGAGTCACTTGATGATGACCTGCACATACATCAAAACACACTGTTAGCATGATATTTATAAGTTATTTATAATATGGTATGATTGTGTAATCAGGATTTGATTCAATTCTAAGCAATATGTAATATTTAGCATGCTTGTCTATATTATCAACTTATCATAAAACATATTTTTGACTTATAGCATTATATCATGCCACATCACGCCCCTACCAAAAGCAGTTTTGGTTAGGATTAAAATATGTTGTGTACATCAAGACTGTTAGGTTCTGCCTATTAGATAAAAATAAAAGCTAATTAAAGTGCAACTGTTCAAGTATATGTCATTATACACTGGCATCACCAACAAAGATTGCTAGTTTTATAAATATTAACAAAATATAATATGTATGATTAAATATTTGTTACTTAAAATACAATGCCATATTTTATTAATATAATCTAATGAACATAATACTAATTATTTGTAAGAGTTAAATTGTTTCATTTTTAAAATTATCCATACAAAAAAAACTCCATACATTATTAAGTGATATTGATTAACAAATAATTTTACCTTCGTCTACTCTTATGTTTTGATTTAGATTTCTTTTTTGACGAATGTTTATGTTGTTTATGTCTTCTTTGTTCATCAATATTCGTTTTATTATCGTATAAATCCTTTGATCTAGCATGATGTCTAGATGATGACGACCTATAAAATATAAACAGTTTGTTTTGAGTAATGTATTTAACTGTAAGGATTATACTTGGGTATATATATGTATATTGTATATATATTATACATTATAGTCATAATCAAATAAAATTATACTATAACTATAGCTCATGAACTAACATAGATTAGTAGTTAAAACAATGAATAAATTAAATGTAGGTATGAATACAATAAGTCACATTAAAATAAACTAAGCTAGATCTGGGGAATACTGTGAGATCCATACTATATCATCTTGAAAAGTCATAATCTAATGGAGCACTAACAATAACAATTTTAATCAATAAATATAATAACTGTATTATTTGCATACCAGGAACCATTGGTATTGATTCCTGATTGAACTAACGGGAAGTAAATTAATATTCAATAGTAACTTATGACAAGCTATGGTAAACAAGATATCATACTGTCTCCATTTAGATAAGACAATCAAGAAAAGAATACCATATAAAAGATAGCTCTCTAGAGCACTGTTTTTTTAGATACCCAACAAGTGTATACATTATAACAGAGTCCCAAACACCTTCATGCCAAAATTACAGTTTGATTAACAATTTAAATAACCTAGTTTTATATTAATTTGAAACTTGTGTTTAATTTAAATATATGTAATCTAACAACTATAATAGAAGTATTTATACTCTACTATTAATTAAACACCTCACTTCATTGTACAGGAGATTGTTGATCAATTAAGCATGCAATACTAAATTTATTGCTTTGATAATTTTAATGTAACAAGACCATAACTTACATGATTTATGATGATAGCGCGATTGCACGATTAAATGTCTTTTAAGTTTTTTAAATTGTGAAATAGTGAAATTAACAAACTGTTTATTCTAATATTCTTTACACCTATTTGTGACTACTGCAGTACGTCTTCCTGGCCGTAACACTGTTGTGATTGGGTTATCAGTTTAAAAGAAAAACAAGAACAAAAAGAATAACAACATTTACGGATCGCATGGAATAAAAGAAAAGTCAACTGTAGAAAAAGATCTTCTTTAGAAAATCTCTAGCACAAATCAAAATATAAAATAAAAGTACATTATTCGTGGTCTCGTTATGGTAGGCTGGACGGTATCTCATAGACTTATAAACATAATATTTTGTTCTTTGCTGGTACAAAGTCCTGTCTCCTGACCCAATTATAGGGGTACTCGTGGTATTATCTATGATCTTACAGTTATCTGTTATCATAATAATATTGTTATTAATGTATAAATAGTAAATATTATCATGATCATCATTCATCAGAGATAGAATTATCCTGTTCGTAATTTCGTATCGTCCCCACACGTCCCGTACGATGACGACGACCTTACCACACGAGTTTTCTCCCATCGGCAAACGACTTCAAGTGTGATTGCAAGTCGTTCCTCTCAGCTGTACTGTTATTTTTACGATATTATTATTATTTATTGGTACTCACGAATTGCAAAACATGATTACGTCAAAAATTCAGTTCGCGACGACGTGTTGACATTTCATGCGGTGCTCGTGTTCGATCATTATTGTGATTTGTGGTAACCATTGACCAGCATCTACACCGATATTTGTGGTATTATGCTTTAGGCTTGCTCGGTTATATACGATGGCTGCTAAAATACAACCGTTCGATCCTCCAAGTTCTGCCAGTTCCGATAGGTAATTTATATTATACCTAGGTCGTAATAAATATTATAATGGGTAATATAACGTTGTTTGTAGTGACCTAGTAATGCTACTTTACTGTAATCGCGATTAATATTTTAATTGACTGTCGCGATCGTGGAATGCGATGTGTGTAGTTCAGATAGGTACCTAGATAGTTTGAATAGTCTGTTGCTTTTTGATACTCCGACCACAGCAGTGTTGTTGATATTTCACAGTCGTTTTTTTCTTGTATAATATTATTGTTTATTTTTTTTTATAAATTATAGGTTTGATAGATGCTTAAGGATATTAAATCCTTATTACCTACATTCTCACTCTGGATATTATTTAATATGTCTGTAGTTCCTTATGACTTTGATATTTCTTTTTTGCTGAATATTGTATTGTGATAGGTACTTAACTTAATTTGTTAAAATAAATTCATTAGCAAATCCACACGTTAAAAAAAAAAAATAGTAAAAATAAGGTATAATAATAAAGAAGATATTCTTATAAACCATATGTACCTATTTAATTCTTCTTTTGATTTTAGTGATTTGAACGAATATCGTGATGTAGTTGGCGACATTTCAATTGCTTTAGATAATGACGACGAAGAAAGTGATAGCATAATCTCATCTAGTATGTCACCATCTAAACAGTCGACTAGTGCGCCATCAACGGGTAATAATTTATTATAATTATTATTCTACTTGAAGTATGTAAATTTATTAATACACTATTTAATATAGTAGAACCATTAAGTACCTGTATTATATTTAAAAAAAAATAAAATCCAACTTTAACCTGTTAAAATTACAAATTGCTCCTCTATAATAAGTATGTAATAATTAAATAATATGTTACCATCTTATTTTACAATTACACATTTATAAATTGGAAAATTTCATGTTTAGTTTGTTGACATTAACATTTTAATAAAATACCTAGGTAAAACAAAAAACTATATCTCTCCATACAACTTGTTAACTATTATGCTATTAGTTGATTTCCTCTGAGTTTTTACTAGTTAAATTTATATCATTGTGTTATTGTAGTGTTGGTCAAATCTCCTCGGTCAACTTTAAGGCAAAGAACTACTTCTGTCAGCCAATCGACTAAGAAAACCGCTTCAGAGTCAGTACTACAGTCTCATACGCGCACAATTTATACGGCTGGTCGACCACCATGGTACAACACTGCTGGGCAACAAGTAGAACCGTTTGTTATTGGTGAGTTATCTATTATAATTAAACTGCACTTCTGATGCATTACAAAATTTTAAGTATTTATAATAACACTTGTGCAATATAAACTAAACTTTCGAATTCTTAACAAAATTAATCAAACATTATATACAACACAATATTTAGGTGTATGTGGTGGAAGTGCTTCTGGGAAAACAACTGTGGCTAGAAAAATAATAGAATCGTTAAATGTACCGTGGGTTGTACTGCTTAGCATGGATTCATTTTATAAGGTTTAATTTATAAATAATAGTATTAATTATATTATTAATATTAACAACTTAACTAATTTATCATTTTAATATTAGGTGTTAACTGCAGAACAACATGAGAAAGCTGCCCATAATGAGTATAACTTTGATCATCCAGAAGCGTTTGATTTTGAACTCTTAACTTCTACTTTGCAAAGGTTGAAAGATGGCAAGAAAGTTGAAGTTCCCATTTATAATTTTGTCACACACGCTAGAGAAACTAAAACAGTAAGCATTATATTGCTGCTTCAGTACTATTAACTAAGATAATTTAAATTTAAAATATTTTTAATAATTGGTACTAATAGATGAATGTTGATCAAATTAGTTTTTAGTATTTATGTTAAACTAAATTATTTATTTCAGTTTTATTTAATTTGTTTACCAATTATTAAAAGTTGTCATTCTTACCTATAGAGTAATACTTATTGCATATTATATTTTATATATTATTTATTTGTTTTAGAAAACAATGTATGGTGCAAATGTCATAATATTTGAAGGAATAATGGCATTTTATAATTCAGATGTTTTGAAGGTAACGTTTTATTAGAATTGAATATTCATTTAAGACTGTTATTAAGATTTTAGGTAATTTAGTTATTAATTAATAATTAGGAATGGGTTGAACTTAAATTTTTACAAACTTAAGCCTAAAGGTTACATCAAACTGCTTAAACTAATACTTAAAATTGAATCTTATTCAAACTTTTAAAAACTTAATCATGACACGTTTTAAAATATACCTAGTAGTAAAACTATATTTACTTAAAACATAAAATTCAAATCACTTTGCTGTTATTCTCTAACATTCCGAACTTGATTACACTCCTCAACTGTTCTAAGTGTTTGAGATATTCTAAATTAAATTTTATTATTTTAATCAAATTTATTATAGTCTAAGAGTTTAAAGATTGATACATACTTATTATGAATATTAAAAATATTTAGATCATTGTTTTCTATATTACTTTACTACTCTTTCACCTTATTTATATAATTCGTAGTAATAGATGTCCCTAAATGTTGTTTATCATTTTATATTTAATTTCAATAAAAAATTCAGCAAAACTAAAACAATTGATATGCTAAGCATAAAAATAATATATATCCATTTTATGATTTCTACTTTAACATGTACAATGTTAATTATTTAATTTTGTATTTGTATAGATGTTGGATATGAAGGTATTTGTAGATACTGATGCGGATATCAGATTAGCACGGAGACTCAAGAGGGATATATCTCAACGAGGTAGAGATCTTCAAGGTGTTTTAAAACAGTATTGTAATATGGTAAAACCATCATTTTCACATTACATTGCTCCGTCCATGATCCATGCCGATATCATTGTACCTCGAGGTGGAGATAATACAGTTGCCATAGAATTAATTGTTCGGCATGTACATAAGCAACTGCAAGCGGTGAGTTTAATTAATGAATCTTGCTTTCTTTGTAAGTTAGATAATTTTTTTTATCTAATATATAAATTGAATATCATTTTTGCTTAAATTTAAATGAAAAAAAAACTAAGAGTCTACACTACATGCAGATACATCAGGCATGTATATGTCTTATGGCTACTGACTAATTTACCACAACAATAAGTTATTAATATAATCATGAGAAGTTATAAGCTAATTATAAATATCAATATTTTCCACCTGCCGACATCGTCGAACAACTATCAACCAATATTTGTTTTATCTATATAATTTATTACACACTAGATACTTTTTTGTCATGTGTAAAAAATTAATAATTTTTATGGGGGATTTGAAGTTAGAACTTTAACAAAATTGGAAATAAATATATTTTTATAAAATAATATAATTATGTATTAATTAATACTGGTTGGTGGATCGTTTCCGCACATTTCAAAGTGTAAAAATATAGTGCACACAGGCACAAAATATCAGTAGACAATTAGAGAAATCTGTTTATTGTTTTTCTTATCATTGTAACACTACAACGCTGTATACATTGTTTTCAGATATTTTCCCAAAAATATTGTTCCACTAGCATAAGATTACATTTATTTGAATTATAGATTATTTATATATTATTTATATCTTACTTAAGTTATGGTCTTCTAATTGTTTTTGGAATTGGTTTTTAATAGATTTGAAGTAATTTAAATTTAATTTCTCCATTATTAGTTATTTTAACAACTAATGTATTGGTAAAATAATTTTATAGAAATAGAAGAAAACGGCGATATTTGTTTTTACTTAAGTCTCTTGTTAAATTGCTTAATATTATAAACACTCTACTTTAATAGGTACTAAATTCAAATATTAATTTTTCTGTATTATAAATAAGTACCTAATTATAATATATTATTAAATTTAAAAATTAATATAGTCTCACAAATTTAGTACACTGATAAGATAATCGAATAACACGGCACTGCCATCTTTACAATGTAATTGGCGACAATGGTATAGAAGTGGTGGACCTTGCCGGGTGGTGAGTAAAGCTGGGTTCATGATGTCATGTTAACGCTTTTCATGTAAGACAAATCTATAGAATTACCCTAGCCATAAAACATATACTTGTCAAAAAAAAATTTAAGGTACAATATTTTAGATAGTATTATGTAGACGTATCGTAAACATAACAAATTAGATTTTAGTTAATATATATTTTTATCGTTCTGATTTATTAAAAATAAAATTAGAATAAATTAGCATTACCTGTAAAGAGCTAAAATGTAAGCAACAAAAAAAAAGTAGATAAGAGTGGCAGTGTAGCATTACCCCATAAAATATTGGTCCATTATTCATCTCATCTAAACTTAAAATACTTATAAAGTATAAATTATATAACTAACTCATAAGCTATTCATCCAAAATTTAATTTACATATCGAAATACGTTGAATTATATTCTGCTTTGGAATATGTTATCTACTTAATGTATTAAAAAAGTTAAAAGTGTAAAGATTAAAAATATATTTCTTTGAACATAATTGTTTTTTATATCTTACAATTATGTTAAAGAAATATTTTCAAAAAAAGCTAATAACTTTTAAAATAATGAGTGGTTTGTGATAAAAGCATCACCAGGTATATTACTGTTAAAGTATGACAACCGTTATTTTTTTATATAACGAATTGTTACATGGTATAAGGGCTAAGTGATGTTTTTCTAGGCTTTCAGGAAAGGCAAAATCATTTTTTTTTTTTACATGAAGTAACTTTCAAATCCAACAATTGATTTTTGAAAATTCAATATCACTTTATATAATTATCACAAAATAGTAAAACTTTCACCACCAGATAAATCTCTTCTCCTACTATTCAGCCATACATAAATTGTTGCTTGGAGACCCTAATGCCAGGTTTGCATGAAAAATCTCTTGACATTTCACGAATCAATAATGAGCTAATGGTCCTTTAAACATGATTTAGTGGACTATGATTGGTTCATTAAATTTTATTAAACCATTAAATAAATAAATTGTTCATACAACCTGGCATAATTTTCGCTTAAACATTTTACTGTGTAACCATCTGTATCTAGAAATTATATAGAAATAACTATTTATTCTAACCATTGCAATCCTCGATTGAGATAAGTCAATGTATACACATCATTAATTTTACTAGTTGAAGAGTAGATATACATTTTTTACTAATAATAATGTAATAAGTTAATTTATTTATTGTTGGACTGAGGAAATATATATTGTCCTCTCGTATTTTTTTAAAAAATTATTATTAAGGTAACTGAATTGATATTAATAGTCCAATTGTGACGATTTATAGAAATTGTACTATACAAGTATTTTTAATAAATTTATTTAGATTTTATTTTAATATGCCATAATTATTGAAAAATAATAATTTTTTAATAACTCCTTTTTTAAATGCCTTAATGCAAATTGTATACCAAAATTGATCAAATTAGGTATAAGGCTACATATAACTTTAAATGTTTGAATAGGTAAGACAAAATAACTTCGCTGCATTATGAAAGGATTCCATTTAACGCAATTTCAAAGATTGTGTCATTTTGGTTGAGAAGTAAAGAAAAACATTGAGAAATGATAATGTACATGTTAAAACTTATAGTAAATTATTTGTGATTAAATTTCATTATTTTACTTTTGTTTATATATTTTATTTCTTATGATTAAAAAAAAAATAATTTTAATAAATTTATCTGTTTAAAACGATTTAGAACGTATTATTCATTTAACTACATGACTTTTATGTTAAAAAAAAAGAATATAATAATCTTCCAAAAATAATTAGGTATAAAAGTATTATATTTACCAGTAAAGTTGTTTTGCATCATTGGTTTAATCATAAAACTTATATAAGGTTTGAACTTGGCACTAAAAAGTATTTAAAAATTTGAGGCTGAGGCAATACAAAATGAGTCATGATTTAATCAGTGACATTAGTTTTTTTACACTTGAGTGTAAAAAAAATATATTTTAGACATGATAACGTTGTTAGTGAAACTTTGAATAATTAAAAAAATTATTATCGGAATTTCAAATTCCATAGATTTCAAGTAATAAAGAAAAATAAGAACTGAAAACATGACTGATTCCTTAACTTACTGTTTAGCAAACATGTTAGCCAGTGTTGTAATGTTGTTTTAACTAAAAAGCAATAACAAATCACTTATTGTTGATGTGATGTTAAAAACAAGTACAGTGGATTCCGCTTAATGTGGCCACCGGTTAGTATGGGCATCCGCTTATTGTGGGCAAACATGTCTGGTCCCAATACAAATGTATATTAACAATGTTAAATAAAACTGTGTAATATGGACACTCGATTCGGTTTATGTGGGCAGTTTTATTTCATCATAGCGTTAGAATATACACATATGTATTTAAAAAGGACTAGTTTAATCGGGTTTTGTCGTTTCTATGAGATTTTTTTTCACCCCCGGCAACTAGGCCATTGGGTAAGATACATTTTTTTTTTTTACAAATAAGTGTGATATAATGATATAAAAAATTATTATTAAAGTTTCAATTTTAAAGTTGTGTTGTTCAGAAGGTGAAATGAGTTTGTTCAATCCTGTCACCTGGAGGAACACGAATATGTTAGGTGATGGCAGGATTGGTCCAAGTATGTCATATAAGTCACCGGATAAATGTTACATTTCCTTGCATCGAGGTATTCAAAACATTCCGGGAGGATGTGTTTTATTGTGAGTTGGACCCCGCACGTTATACGTGAAGGGGACTCACTCGGGACATTTGGTAACCATGAGTTATTCTGGTGTGACCTATTGTTATTCTGTTGATGATGAATATCTATGAGATTGTGTTTATCGAAAGTATACCTTCTACATTCAAAGATTAATTTTATTTAGTATATTATATGTATTTAGTTTTATTTGTATACCTAGTAATTATTTAACATTTTTTCAATTACATATATGATAGTACAGGTAAAAACTTTTTACTATAATTTTTTTTTAAAACTAATTTCGGTTTTTATGGGCAACCGCTTAATGTGGGCAAACAGGGCTGGTCCCAACGTGCCCACATTAAGCGGAATCCACTGTATTAATGTTTGATTTCCCCTTTAAAAAATAAAATTATAGAATGAACTTTTTTTTAATTAAAATAAATTTCATTTAATCAAATGCTGTGTTCAACAAAAAAAAAAAGGCACAATATCCTTTCAAAAATAATTATATAAGTATTATAACTTGGTACTTCCAAGGTTCCAAATGCGATGTAATACAAAATAAGACCGGATTTAATCAATGACATTAATCTGTTCACTACTTCTTAGTTCTTAGTAAAAATACATATATATTTTAGACATGATAACATTTTTGATGATCTGCTGAAATGAATTTATTTTGAATCCTGTTGAATGATTTATACAAATTACTATCACAATATCAGATTTCATAAAAATCAAGTAATAAAGAAAACAATGTGTTTTGCTGTATCAAAATAAAAATGTCTCAAAAATAATTTCTATACAATAAATTGAATGTAATCTTCACTACTCATTGTTAACATTATCATAATTATTTATTTATCATTTATTTAGACTTTTGACTTTTGGTTTATTTTTGTAACAAAGTTACATTAATAGATATACCTATATATTATATATATTATACTATGTATCTAATTAATTCATACTGTAGGTAGTGTTGTATTATTTACTGGTATGTGTAAATAACTAATAAGTCATTAAACAATTTTATAAAGACAGTGAATAATGTCAATTCATTGTTTGTAAATATCTATGGTTGTGTAAAAAATGTTATCTGTGTAATATAGACAAGTTGTGATTGGCTGATTTGTGTATAGTCAGTCATGCAATAACTGTTAATGGTTATACAAATATAATATATATAATAATTGTAAAATAATAATAGATACGGTCTTCCATTTAGTTTTAAATGTCAATTAGGTGTAGGCAGACAGTTAGATGACAATTATATTTTCCATGCATAATAATTTAAATTAAGTTAATAGGAATAAATAAAAAATGTACAAAAATATATTTATTATTTATGTATTCATGTTTTTGAAACAAATATCTTTTATAATGATAAATTATTATTCTATGTTTTAGCGAGGGTTTAAATTACGAGAAACACTTGCAATGTCTTACGTCGGTCAACCTCTACCCAGCTCTATTCATCTATTGCCATCTACACCACAAACTCAAGGCTTACATACGTTCATACGAAACAAAGATACACCCAAGGATGAATTTATATTTTATTCCAAACGACTTATTAGACTAGTTATTGAGTTTGCGCTGTCATTGTTGCCATTCAAAGTAAGCAATATATTTTTTTTTTAATCTCAAAAAATAATAGAAATATCTATATGAGTTAACTAGTTAAATCTATTATGTTGTATTTAGGATGTTATTGTAGATACTCCCCAGTGTGTTCCATATTCTGGTAAAAGATGTGCTAGTGACAAGATATGTGGTGTGTCGATTTTGAGGGCTGGAGAAACAATGGAACAAGCAGTTTGTGACGTTTGTAAGGATATACGTATCGGGAAAATTTTGATACAAACAAATAGATCTACTGGAGAACCAGAAGTATGTAACTAGAATATTTATTTTGTTTAGTAGGTATAAACTAATATTGTTTAAATTTAGCTATATTATTTGCGCCTACCTAAAGATATTAAAGACTATATGGTAATTTTAATGGATGCCACGGTAGCTACTGGTGCAGCTGCAATGATGGCCATTCGAGTACTTTTAGATCACGATGTTCCTGAAGAAAATATTTTATTGGTGTCATTACTAATGGCTGAATCTGGTATGTATATTGTTGAATTAGATATGTTAAATGCTAAATTATTGATAATATTTTTAGGGGTGCACACAATTGCATATGCATTTCCTCAAGTGCGCATCGTCACATCAGCTGTCGATCCAGAAATAAATGAAAAGTTCCATGTTCTACCAGGAATTGGTAATTTTGGTGATAGATATTTTGGCACTGAACCGGAAGAGTACTTATCCAGTTAGTGAAGTCATTCAAGTGAAGTCCTTAATAAATTGTGCTGAATTTTTATTACGAGTTATATTAAGGTGTTTTGAAATTGGATTTACTTAATGCAATGTAAGACTTCTAGTATTAATCAGGTTTATGATTTTATCATTGTTTAAGAATTGGATTGATATCATCAAATAAACAATTTTATTTTATTATGAGTTTTAATGTGTCCAAATAATTTGTGTATTATTAGTTTTCATCACACAAATTTATGCTGGGGGGTATATTTTATAGTTAACTATTGTGAATGTATGTTTAATAAAATAATGCATACAAATTTACTGTTGATATGTCTTGTTTTCAAGTGTCCTGAAAAAAAAATAATTAAATAAAAATCAGTCATGAACCTTTTGAAATCCAAGTCATACAGTCAAAAACACTAAGCACAGAATTTAACTTATAAAATGTTGGGAATATACTTAAAATAAAATTGAAGTATATATCCATTTGTCTGGGGTGATCTTCGAAATGACCGAATCAATTTTGATTGGAGATGTCTGGTAAAAGTAACCTGGATTCTAGGTTACTTTTTATCCAGAAATGTAACTATGATTTATCATACGTGCATTTTGACCTTAAAATACAAACAACCTAACCTTTATTTCTTGTTCATATTTCATATTTCATTCTTGTTTATATGGAATTAAAGTTAATATTATTTAATTTGGTTGTCGCTGACAAAAAATCTACTACTAAATAGTTCTGTTGATTTATGCCAATCATCGATGGATTGCCCATCTCAGTTGGATCTGTCCATAGAGTCCACTAACCAATAATAATCTTTGTTGTTGCTTCAATTAAAAAACAAATTAAAAAACCTATTATGTTACACACACTACTAATTGGTGAAAATCTAATATTTGTGATTAAAATGGTGTTGAACTGTTGTAGTTATTTTCTAAAGGCTAATAAGTAAATAATTTTAAAAAAAGATTCAAATGTAATGAACTTCTATTAAACTACTATAACAGCATTTATACCTTATTATTGTATAGCTAAAATACAAATAATAACTACAGTAAATGTACCTAAAAATATATTAATAGGTAGTAATAATTATAGACTAAAGACAATAGTCAATAACACTACCAGTATACTATAGTCTATAGTAGTATAATATAATTATGCATTATTATTTATTAACTATTAATTATAGGTATACACTATACAGTATACATACAGAAAATAAAGCTTTACATTTTTCTGATAACTTGAAAAAAAGAAAATTAGATAGAAAATCTCTGATAATAATAAATTAAGCACTAACTCTTTATTGTATACTTCAATGTTATTTATGAATTAAAGTCAATATAACAATTTTCTTCTGACGATTGATATTTGGTAGTACCCAATATTACCCATTTACCCGTATTAATATTTTATACCCATTTTTATAATCATATTTAGTAACTATTATCTACATTTATTTCAAAATAACTAAAAACTACCTATTGGTAGTAAAGTTGATAGATAGGTAAGTACTACTATTATATTATGTATGCTTAATTGATATTATACAAATCTAAGACAAATTTTAAAGTCTCACTTATCCCAACAAGGATTTTATATCGACCACTTATATTATGATCTAACGCAGATTAAAAATTTTCAAATGACTGACAAACAAAATAGATTTATTATGACATTGTGCTCATATAAAAACTTGTGGGGCAACTGAAAACAAAATATTATTATTACTATGACGCCAGATGTAATGGCTATTGCTCGGTTTGCAAATTTCCGGTTTCTGCGTAAGGCGGCGATTTTGGAGTCTAGAAATCTGATAAACTATAGCAATTTGTTGATTGTTTTCATTATCAAAATACAAACACACAATGCTAATATTTAATACTTTAATAGCAATTATAATATAGTACCCGACAGTGCCATATTTTCCAGTAAACACTATAAACTAGTGCTTAGGACGGCAAATAATTTTAATATTACTTTTTTATTATATGTAACTAGAACTAAAAGATATGCAACTAATTAGGTACTACCTGTACTATATTATAGTAGGTACCTAAGTGTACTGTAAATTGTTTATGGGTAAGTACCTAGTACAGTAGTACTAGGTACACAAATGCTGTAACCTGTATAATTATGTGTTATACACTTATACCTATTTATCGAATTGTATAATACATAATAATATAGTCTTCGGCCATATTTCCTTCATGGCATGTACACCTGTCACATACCCTAACCTGGCTAACCTACTGTGTATGACGTAGGAATACTTGCCAAAATTATAAACTACAAACAGTACAAACTAAAATAACATTTTTATAAAGAGTTGTATGGAAAACACTAAATCGGGTGGCTCAATTATACAAATATTGGGTTATCGAAAATAATAATACTTTTCTTATCGATATGCGATGAACGTGTTTAACTCTTTAACTATACAGATTAGAATTATAACTATAGATATAGAATCATTTTTTATTAACAATATGTGTGTAGAATCATTAGAATCATTTGTAAATATTATTACTATTATTATTTTAGTTTTATTTATAATTCAGCTACTTCTACTATTTAGCACTAGACAGCATTAAGTAAAATAATTTTTTTAATTCTTTAAAACACAACAATGTGTGTTGATTTAAGAATTTCATTTTGAGAAAACAAAAACTACACACGGGCGAAGCCGGGTTATTCAGCTAATTAAACAAAAAAAAATTATATTTATTTGTTTTAATACTGCAGTTACTTAACGAATTATTTTTCAATTGAACTAGTAAAATCAAAGATAGGTACCCTTCTATATACATATACAGGAGGCCGCCCCTATTCACTTATCAACATCCAGACCAAACCGCTGGGTCTAGAGTTCTAGAGACTTGAAATTTTGTACAGAGGTTCCCTTGAGCAATAAGCAATGTAGGAGCGCACAAAGAAAGGATTTTTCAAAATTAATCCTCTAAGGAGGTAAAAGAGGGTTTTTAAAAAAGCTATATAATACACGGGCAACGCTATGGCGGGACAGCTAGTATAATATAATTAAATAAATAATTATTAAGCCGTAGACCACGGTCCGTGGTTAATATAGGTATGCCGGTCTGGCGGTCTCAAAGATAATATTTTATATTATGATACGTGACATTGAGAAATTACGATTTTTATCATTCTTTTTTTAAATTTTGTATATCTATAAAAAAAAAATTAAAACAAATTTTGGTTTTCAACAAATGACAAACAAACTAAAAAAATAATGCCACTCCAAATTGAAGTCTAGGATATCTACCTAAATCACTGTACAGACCACAGGGTACAAGGTAAGCAATACTGTTTACAATATTTTTAACAAATAAATTACATAATAATGAATATTAATAGAAGTAAACAGACAAAGTAAAATGTTTTATCACAATGATAATAATATGTTGACATGTTGTACGTCTTTTTTATCTTGGACCTTCGGTCTTATTGACTCATTCGGTTAACGTACTCAAATACTCTGGGATCAAAGTAAGTTGAATAAGTGACATCTACAACGTAATTATCATTATTATAATATGTCTTATTCTGTGATAATATACTAGTGAGTAGTGACAAGTCCATTCTGACCAATATTTACAATGATGAGTTTTTTTGTCTGTTAACACGATAAGTAGTCAAAATAATGCTTCAATTTTCAATTTCAGACTATCTTTTAAAATTCACAGGATTTATCAAAAAACGGGATCGTTAAAAACCAAAAAAAAATTAATGAAAAACCGGAATTTGTAGCCAAAATCTATTTTGGTTTTTAATGTAATTTTAAAATGAATGACCGATATAAGCATTTTATATACACCATAACATTTTGGAATTTCAAAACATTTTGACATTTGGTTCATGTTAAGTAATCTATATATAGGCACAAAAAAATTGTTGTGCCTATATAACTAAAACTTAAAAATGTAATACAGAGTTCCTTATAAGTTGTTGTTAAGGGGCCTCATCACCACATGTTTTTTTTTCAAAAACTACTGTTTCTAATTCTAACGATGCGTGTCGACAATTATCACGATTCTCATTCTGGAAAAATATTCGGATTCTCCACAATATGTAGGAGGGAATGACCTCGATACATTTTTAAGTTTTTTTAATTGTAATTACAATAAATATTGTAAAAAATTAAAACAATTGCAAATCTTCAAGCTTAATTATTTAAGCAACCAAGTAAAATTTTAAAAATGTGCTTAGGTCGATGCTTAGTTAATTATTATTATAATGAGGGTTCAAAACCGGTTTCCTTCGTCTCCAAAATCAAGTTAGATTCTTATATATATAGATTATAGACACAAAAAATAAAAAAATAAATACACTTCAATGTAAAATTAATACACGATCATCGCTCTGCTCAGAACCTAAAATATTAAAAATTAATAATTTAATATTAATTGAAATTAAGTGAAATATGCCTAATAATATTATAAATAATGAAATTAACAATTTTAACATTTTTCCATCATACATATTTTTAGGCTGCAATCGTTGGATACCGTACAAAAAAAGTATTGTATATGGGTGTAAAAAATAAATTTTGCTTAACTTGTGCTAGAATGTAAATTGGAGTCAAAGTTAAAATTCACGAGTGCTATAAAAATTGGAAATCGTCTGATGGATCCTCAGCAATGGAGGCTGCAGTTATTGTTAACGGATTTAGAGAAAGTGAAAGTATGTATGGGATTAGATACCACAAGTTAATTGCTGACGGCGATAGTACTATAGTAGTGTTTATAAACAAATTTTGGAAGCACGACCTTACAAAAATCGTATCGTTGAAAAAATTGAATGTAAAAATCATTTATTAAGGAATTTTTGTAAGAAAATGAGGGAAATCGCTACAAAAAAACAAGCAGGGAAATTGGAAAATAGAAAATTACTACAAAATAATATTTTAAGATTGCGTAAAGGAATAGTTTCAGCGATACAATATAGAATAAAAAATAAAGATAACGATAATGATTTACGAAATGAT